AGATTAGTGTGCATTTAGAGAGGGCATACATAGTGTGTGCATTTATAGAGGGTGCATTTATGGAGGGTTGACTGTATTAGGTTTAAAAAAAACCTTGAACAAAAAATTCAAATGTCACAAAGACCTCAACTCGAATGCTTCTTCGGTGATATAAGCATCATAAATTATGACCATGACACTTCTGAAGGTAGTGATGACGACATTGCTACAAATAGGCCCACAAATAGGCCCATATACAAAAAAGACCTTGACACTACATACATAGACAAAGACACTGATTTCGGTGAGAGAAACTTCAATGACAAAGCCAAAGCTGGTAGACTCAAAAGCCTGGACATTTACCATAGTCACAGCATTAGTGCCATAATCTTCAAAAGTGTAATTGGTTCTGCAATTTTGGGAAGATATGGTAATATATATTTCGTAGAAATTGTCAGGTTCTGGTCTGACTGCAGCAAAAACTTTGGCATGCTATGGTTCAATAGATTCATGACATACATTGATGCTCTTCCCTTAGAGTATTTTAAATTTTATTACTGCACAGTAGATGAAAACGATGAAATTAAGCAAAAAGTCAATGAATATAACTGGAACGAAGGGAAAGAGATATTGTTTTATTTCAATAACCATGCCAAATTAATTGAAAAACTTCAATCGTTGTCACAACCAGACGAACATATGATGTTAGAAATATTTGATGAACCAGTCTTAACAAGAAAGAGTGCCAAGTTTAGAAGGCTTTTTGAAAATGATCTGAAATTTGATTTTTGCAGACCCATTGCCTACAAACAAAGATTCAAGATTTTCCATAATTACAATATTGGATATCCTGGATTCGATTATTTTGCGTTATATCATGATAAATATTTTGTTGTTCGTGACGAACGCTGTCATCACATAAATTATGATAATTCATCATTCTTATTAATACAACAACATCTAGAAGAATTTGAGCGTTCTATGAACAACATGTTCCCAGAAAACATTTTTGATATTTTCATATATCATATTAATGGAGATGATATGTTAGATGAAGGAATTCATCAGAAAGAACGTATAATTATCATTTATGAAAATAAGGATAACTTAGAAAATACAACTGATAAAATTAAAGAATACATCAATGAGGCAAGAATGTAACAATGAAGTGGAGGTGAGTGGTTAAGAGTCACATGTTTCTGTTCAGTGGCATGCTTTTATTCTCACGAAGTGAAAAACTGAAGATCATGTTTGATTGTTCTTACTCAGTCTTTGTGCTAACAAATACTTTTAGATCAATGATACCTCAATTTTGCATATACCTTTATGACTTAATTCAATCTGAAAATATTCAGTGTTTGAATACTCAAACCTCATTTATAAAGTATATGTATACATGTAAATGCATGAATATAAAACAAACATCTACATACTAGATAGTTGTACGACATTATTGTGCAAAAACCAGAAACAGAAATTGTAAACAAAAATAAAGTCATAGGTATTTAACTAGCTCTCAGTTCCAGGCGATGCTCTGGGTCTAGATACTAAGTGTTTTTGATCTCAGATTCTATTTATAAAGGTTTAATTTATAGTTTTTTAACTTTTAAATTTGAACAATGATTTGAAGCTAGGTTTTAAGTGTTTTTAATTTCAAATTTTGTAGTTATTTAATAGTTTTCTAACTTTTAGGTCTAGGCAATGCTCTGAGACTAGATTATAAATCTTTTAATTCTCAGGTCTTAGTGATGTTTTAGATTAGTTTTAGATCTCAGATTCTATAGTTTTTAACAGTTTTTTAGCTCTTAAGTCTGAGTAATGTTTTGAAGCTAAGATTTAAGTATTTTAAATTTTAGATTCTTTAGTTTTCTAATATTTAAACTTAAGTAATGCTTTAGAACTAGGTTTTAAGTGTTTTAGATCTAAAATTTAATTGATTTAGATTTTAAATTTTTTGTTATTTAATATTAATTTAATTTTTAGTATTCTAACTTTTAGATCTAGGCAATGCTCTGAGGTTAGTTATAAGTGTTTTAGATTTTAGGTTATATAATTATTTAATTTATAAATAAAAAAATTAGATTAAAAATAATATATTATTTAATTTATAGTTTTCTGACTCTTAGATTCAAGTAAAATTTCAAAGTTAGATTCTAAGTATTTTAAATCTTATATTTTGTAGTTATTTATTTTAATAAATAATATAGTAATTAATTTATAGTTTTTTAGTTTTCAGGTTTAAGCAATGTTTTAGAAATAGGTTCTAAGTATTTTTAATCTCAGATTTTGTAGTTATTTATTTTAATAAATAATATAGTAAATTATTTATAGTTTTATAGTTCTTAGTTCTAAGTAATGCTCTAAAGCTAGATTCTAAGTGTTTTAAATTTTAAATTTTGTAATATTTTAAATTTTAAATTTTTAGTTATTTTCTTATAACTTTAATATTAGTTTAAAAATAATGTAGTTATAAACAGAACTCTTCCTGCTGATCCTCAATTCCAAAACAAGGAAAAACAAAATACAAAAACAACAAGAAAACTGGCTAGCAAACACCCTTT